CTGAGCACCAGCGTGTGAGCTGAGCACCAGCGTGTGAGCTCTGAGCACCAGCGTGTGAGCTGAGCACCAGTGTGTGAGCTGAGCACCAGCGTGTGAGCTGAGCACCAGCGTGGGAGCTGAGCACCAGCGTGTGAGCTGAGCACCAGCGTGTGAGCTCTGAGCACCAGCGTGGGAGCTGAGCACCAGCGTGGGAGCTGAGCACCAGCGTGTGAGCTGAGCACCAGCGTGTGAGCTCTGAGCACCAGCGTGGGAGCTGAGCACCAGCGTGTGAGCTGAGCACCAGCGTGTGAGCTGAGCACCAGCGTGGGAGCTGAGCACCAGCGTGTGAGCTCTGAGCACCAGCGTGGGAGCTGAGCACCAGCGTGGGAGCTGAGCACCAGCGTGTGAGCTGAGCACCAGCGCGTGAGCTGAGCACCAGCGCGGGAGCTGAGCACCAGCGTGGGAGCTGAGCACCAGCGTGGGAGCTGAGCACCAGCGTGTGAGCTGAGCACCAGCGTGTGAGCTCTGAGCACCAGCGTGGGAGCTGAGCACCAGCGTGTGAGCTCTGAGCACCAGCGTGGGAGCTGAGCACCAGCGTGGGAGCTGAGCACCAGCGTGGGAGCTGAGCACCAGCGTGGGAGCTGAGCACCAGCGTGTGAGCTCTGAGCACCAGCGTGGGAGCTGAGCACCAGCGTGGGAGCTGAGCACCAGCGTGGGAGCTGAGCACCAGCGTGGGAGCAGAAGGCACCTGGCTCTCACAGTGCCCTTAACGTGTTGCACTTCCTGGCTGCCTTCCTCCTCTTGTTGGCAGAGGTGCAAGATGCCCGTGTGCCCCTCCGGCATGCTTTGTGCAGGAGCTCATGCAATATTAATGAGTTCAGATTGTTCTCTGATAACGTCTGAAAGGTAGCCTCCAATTCTAGTTCTAATTTTTTTGCAAGAACAGAGTCATTGATCTCAGCACTTTTAAGAATAAAGATTAAATTTAATGGTTTATTAAGCCAAAACCCTGAGCTCTAAATACTGAAATTTCAATTACATGAAATAATTTTTGTCTAAACTGTAATTTTATAATCACAGTCCACTAAACTGATTGAATGAATCCAGACTTATTTGACTCTCTGTGGTTAATGAAAACTATCAAAAGCCAAATGCAAACTGGTTTGTGTTAAGTACACTGTGCCAGCTTCCTACTCTTGACACAGAAGTGGAAATGTTCAGGGGGAGCTGTGAGCCACTGTGGGACTAGAGTTAGAACTTTTATATTAATGATGGAAAGCCAAGCGGTCAAGGGCATAAGATGAACCCAAAACAAACAGAGTCTTGCAGAGACTTTAGTCTGAAGATGCACCGGCCTCACAGAGGCCTCGTCCAGGGAAGACATCTACAGACAGATGTAGTGAGCGGTGTTGAGAGTCCTGGCCGGCACAGCCCTCCTCCCACAGATAACGCTCCGTGTGCAGTGGCCAGGGGGAAGGCGCCTCGGAATTCCCTCATCTGAGAGTGCATCCACGGCGGGGTGGACTGTGCCCGGAATCGCATTAACACCAGGGCCGGGCCAGAGGCAGGGCGCCAGCGCCCGTGCTGAGACCCGGTCACCTTTGGGGCGGTGGGGGCACCCCATGACAGGACCGCCCACACAGAGCCAGCAGCAGAGCCCAGGGGACCCGGGCACCACAGGACACCGGCGAGCAGCACAAGACCGACCAGCAGCCGAGCCTCATGTCCAGCAGCTCAGGAGGGCTAGGGTCAGAGGGAACGAATGGGGATGGGGGCGACAGTCTGAGCAGAGCAGACTGCCATGTGCACCCCTGTGGACGGCAGGAAAACCATAGACGTGGAGATGGACGGGAGCCAGGCGGGATTGTGTCCAGTGCGCCCCTCAGGCTGACAAAGCACAGCTGGCCCATGTTAGTCTAGGAACCCAAGGAGTAACGAGAAGATGTCCTCCATCTCACAGGAGGAAGAGGACGTGCTCAGAGCTCACGTGAAGATGTCCTCCATCTCACAGGAGGAGGAGGACGTGGTCAGAGCTCACGTGAAGATGTCCTCCATCTCACAGGAGGAGGAAGGGCGTGCTCAGAGCTCACGTGAAGATGTCCTCCATCTCACAGGAGGAGGAGGACGTGCTCAGAGCTCACGTGAAGATGTCCTCCATCTCACAGGAGGAGGAAGGGTGTGCTCAGAGCTCACGTGAAGATGCCCTCCATCTCACAGGAGGAAGAGGACGTGCTCAGAGCTCACGTGAAGATGTCCTCCATCTCACAGGAGGAGGAAGGGCGTGCTCAGAGCTCACGTGAAGATGTCCTCCATCTCACAGGAGGAGGAAGGGTGTGCTCAGAGCTCACGTGAAGATGTCCTCCATCTCACAGGAGGAGGAGGAGGAGGACGTGCTCAGAGCTCAGGTGAAGATGTCCTCCATCTCACAGGAGGAGGAGGAGGAGGATGTGGTCAGAGCTCTCGTGAAGATGTCCTCCATCTCACAGGAGGAGGAGGAAGGGCATGCTCAGAGCTCATGCCAATGCAGAATTCATCATGGAGGAATCTTGGGCTTACAAACATCCAGATGACCATTTCAAACTCTGCAAATTCTACACAGCCCCTTCAAACTCTTTAGTAACAGAGGAGTGTAAATGCTCTCCTGGACTTGGTTTAAAAAATAGAGTTGGAAATTATAGTAGATGCATGATAAATAACTTAATAAAGCCACGTAAGCTAATCCATTGTCTTCGGACATCGAAGGCCAGGGTTCTCAGGTTCTTTGTAACTTTGCATTCTGATGAGTGCCAGTCCTTGTCTACAACTCCAGAGAGAAAAACCAGCTAAATGATGACAGAATTAGGGGAGTAGAGGGGAGAGAGTAAATTGAATTTTCACTTCAATTATGGAAAGCTATTTACACTAGGTATCAGATAGCATCATCTCTATTCACTGAGCAGCAGAGTTCTCTGCCATTAACCAGCATGTCGGATTTGAGATTCTTTATCTTTCCCTGACACTTTTCAATTTATAGCTTTTATAATAGCTCTCCACTACATTAAATCAATACCCAGTATGGCCCATCTATTCATGTTGTGCTAAAGATTATAAATTGAAGTCCTTTTATTAATACTTCAGCAGAAGTCCCTTTTAAGAAAAATATTAAAATTAGACGTTAAAACTGCACATTTTATAAAACTGATTGGCTTTCAGTTAAAATTTAAAGAAACAGTCAAATAAGTGCATGTATTCCTTGTTTCTGTATTTTTGGAGCAATGGCTTGATTAAAACAAGCCCCTTTAAACATCTCCCCAATACTCAGGTAAAGAATACAAAAGAAGCCGAAATTCAGCATTTCAGCATCAAAAGCAGTTCCTCCCCTGGGCCCTGGGGAACTGGGACAGGGCGCATGGCCAGGGGAGACCTCAGCCACCGGCAGCCTGAGGGCCTCCCTGCCAGCACTCCCCTGGCGGCCCTGGCCGCGGCTCCCCCCCCCCCCCTCCCCGCGGCCCTGGCCACAGCTCCCCCAGGGGCCCTGGCCACGGCTCCACACCCCCCCCCAGCGGCCCTCCCTGCCAGCACTCCCCCCGGCGGCCCTGGCCACGGTTCCCCCCCACGCTGGCCCTGGCCGCGGCTCCCCACACCGCTCCTCTCCCTCCTGGCCTCCGGCCCTTCCTCCCTCTCTCTGTGCAGCTGAAAATGTGAATGTCCCCAAACTCAACATGCCACAGTGGAGCCTCCCGGGCCTTGTGTTCATAACACGGGCACAGAGTCAAAGACCCCGGAAACTCCCACACTTGATGTCACGTGACATGCCACTGTTATTACCCGATAGCCGGCGAACCCCAGGACACGCATTGCTCAGCCTTGCCACGGCACCAGACACGGCCGGCTGGAGCCTGCCCTGCCGTCACCCAGCAAACCCGGGGGAACCGGCAGACCGTAGCCTGGCATCTCTCTGCTGTGGGGTGGTTACTTATGCTGTGCCAGAAATCCCGAGGGAGAATCGAAAGAGAGAAACGGAGTGGGCGGCTGCGTGGTTCACTGGCCGCAGCACCGGCCGCGCTGTGCGGGTGAGCTGCGGGAGGCGGCCCACCGGTGAGGGTCGTCCCAGCGCAGCCTGGGACGCCGTGCTCCGGGACCCGCCGTGGGCACCGCACCTCCGCCCACCGGGGACCCAGCGCAGGAGAGCCGGACCACGGAGTCCTGAACCCGCAGGGGAGACTTCTGAACAGAAGCCGGGCAGAGAAATGTGGCTGTTGGGCCAGCAGTGAGAGGGGGTCGGTCAACTCCCAGGTGATCCTGAGGGCAGCGCTGCTGCTCCCAGAATATTCTGTGTTCACAGCAGACTCAGGAGGGGACAGGAGATCGGGGAGGGAAGATGAAGAGTTCAGGAGCGCTCAGAGAAAGACGTCCGTCCATTCCTCAGACCACCTTTCAGCCACCCAATCTACGCCAGAGCGGCCTGCCTCTCTGATTCGCTAAATCCTTTGCAGAATAAAACTACAGCTGACTGCTTTTAAATTTGCTGTTGGATTTACAAAATAAACGACCTGCATGGGGCATCTGCAGCTGGAACGGCATCTTCACACCTCATCCTGCTGGCGGCCCGCGAGTCGTGGACAGCCCCGGAGCGGAAGCGGCTGCCCTGGGAGCGGCTGCCAGGCTCTCCGGCTGGTCCTGCCACGGCTGGCCCTGCCACAGGAGCCTCTGGACCTGCCCTCTGAGCTCGTGAATTAACATCTGAATAGATTCACTGCACTCAGGGAGCCCCTGAAAATCCTGGAAGCTGTGGTGGTGTGCGGCACCAAGCCGCACCAAGCTAAGGGCCCTTGGCTTACCTGAACAAGGCCCAGAAGGAGGAACACTTTATAGGCCGGCCGCTTTCTGGGCTGACTGGCCCCAGGGTCCACACCGCTAGCCTTGGGTTCTCTGAGGGAGGGCTCCTTTGAGGGGGGGGGCGCAGCCCAGTCCTGAGTATGCACAGGGTCAGCTTCTGTCGGGGCCGGCTGGTCCTCATCCTGTCCTGTTCTGTCTCACAGTTCTGGGGAAGATCCGGAGTGCCGTGGGGAGTGCCCAGTTGCTCATGTCCCAGAAGTTCCAGCAGTTTTATTGGCTCTGCCAGCAAAACATGGTGAGTGAACCTGCATGATGGTCATTGCTGAGCACTCCAGCGTCTCGCTACATCTCCGGGAGCTGCAGAGACCACCCCAGAGACCAGAGACCTGCAACTCCAGCCCCAGGCCCCACAGCCCCAGCCCCAGGGAACCCTCACCGCAGCTCAGTGACCCACTGGGCCCAGGCCAGAAGTGGGGAGTGGGGCTGAGAGTTTAGCCTTCTGCAGAGTAAGGAAGCTGGGCCTCAGCTACTGGATTCTCTCCCAGAAAACTTCAAACAAGGAGATGTCCTACCCGGACCAAGGTGACAAGTAAGCAAAAGCATCTGAGGCTGTGCAGAACAAAGAGACATAAACCACTCCGTGTAGAGAGAGGAGACACTCAGAAGCAATGTGGGCTTTCTGCTTTGTAGTCCCAGTGCAGATGTACGTACATCCCATGCACTGAATGTACAAGTGGCAGGTGACAGGCCGGGCGTCCCTGCAGGCACCGGGCAGGGACATGCACGTGCACACGCTGTGGTGTACAGTGCGTGCACACTGATCTGTATGCGCATGGATGTGGATAGCAGTGCATTCTGCACACCTGTTTTCATCAGCACACGCACACATGTACGCTTTTCTTTGTCTGACTGAAAAAGTATTCACATAATTCCTTCAGAAATGGCCACGTATTAGGCATGGTTCTTTATAGGCAGTTTTATAATCCATACACAAATTTTTTTTTTCACACCACAGACTTTCAAAAAAAGGTAAATATTGTCCTGGCATTGAAGGCAGACACTTTGGTTGTATTTTTGTTGCTTGTTAATTTGCACAGACACAACACAGAACTCGGAGGTGCTCATCTGTGTGTCCTAAACTACAATCACTGAAATGTATGATTTCTCCAACATTTTCCTACTAGCCCATTAAAGCTCATCGTGAGACTTACAGTCACCAACAGATCACCTGTAGCATACAGTTTTATGGACATTTTGAAAAGGGATCAGAAGCTGGGTGCCAGTGGCTCTCACCTATAATCCCAGCTACTCAGGAGGCTGAGATCTGAAAGTCATAGCTCAAAGCCAGCCCAAGCAGGAAAATCCGAGAGCCTCTTACCTCTTACCTCTAATTAACCACCAAAAAGCCTAGTGACTCAAGTGGTAAACACTAGCCTTGAGCACAAAACTCAGGGACAGTGCCCAGGTCCTGAGTTCCAGGCCTGGGACTGGCACATCAACAACTACAACAACAACAACACACTACTCATCTTAATCTTGCTGGAGCATTCTAGCCACTCCCTTCTCTCTTGCCTTCTCTCTGGGACCCTCGTTGGGGGCAGGAAGGGCGGCTGAGAAGACCCAGGCGGGAGAGACCCGTACGGCAGGTGGCTAGGCTTTAAGTCAGAGGAATGGCCCTGGAAAGCACCAGAGCCTTCCCCGGTGTCTTTGAGGTGACTATAAGGCATCCACAGTGTGGCTTATCCAACGCCAACTCTCCCCTCCTGCTCACGGAGCTGCCCGGGGACTCACCATCCGTACCCTGCACGCCCCACGCACCATGCCTGCAGCACCGCCCCGGTGGCTGCATGGAAAGAGCCTGCCCTCTAGTGGCTGAAAGGAGAACTGTGGCTCCCCTCTGGGGAGGAAATGAGCCCGTCCGGGTCAGCCCTGCTGACCCTCACACAGAGCTGGTGGACATCTGGTTGCTCAGGAGGGGAGGGGACAGTCCCTAGAGGACGACATGGATGCCAGACTAGGTTGAAGGAGTTGAAAGCCAAACGTAAGTTCTCATCCCAGCCCGTGGGGACCGCTGGTCGCGAAGCTGGTGAGCCTCGTCGAGCAAGGAGGAACTGGCGAGGGGTGGTTTTCAGGGACAGAGTCCATCTTCGGGCCACTCCTTCCTGTGGCCGGCAGGCAGCAGCTAGACACTGCCATGAGACCAGGGGTCCCTGGGAGACGGCCCTCCCACAGCGCACACTGAAGCCACATCACCTTAGAACTGGAGCTAAGATCCAGGAGGACAGCACAGACACCCAGGTGGCTGCGGCCGGGCTCTCCCCAGTGCCTCCTCCACTCCGCAGCCGCCGGTCCTGAGTACACACAGGGCCTGGTGCTGCCGGGTGCCTGGAGCCCGCCTCGCTGACCTCCCCTCACACACACACACTCCCAACGCAACAAGGAAGAGAGGCGCCTGGGGGCTTGAGCCCATGGGCCGAGTGTGCGCGGCCCCACACCGTGGGCGGCTGGTGGGTCTCCACGCTCCCTCTGGGGCACCGCGGGAAGGCGGCCCCGAGTGTGCTCGTGTGTCTCCGCAGGACCCCAGTGCCATGCCCAGGCCGACGCCCCAGGACCTGGCCGGCTATTGGGACATGCTGCAGCTCTCTGTGGAGGACGTCAGCATGAAGTTCGACGAGCTGCAGCAGCTGAAGCTCAGCGACTGGAAGGCGATGGACTCGCCGGAAAGAAAGGTAACGGCGCCTGTGCGGGCCCATGGTCCAGGCCCTCAGCCCCCGCCCGCGGTCCAGGCCCACAGCCCCACCAGGCCCACGGTCCAGGCCCACAGCCCCTGCCAGGCCCACTGTCTAGGCCCACAGGCCCTGCCAGGCCCACTGTCTAGGCCCACAGCCCCTGCCAGGCCCACTGTCTAGGCCCACAGCCCCCACCCGCTGTCCAGGCCCTCAGCCCCCGCCCGCGGTCCAGGCCCACAGCCCCACCAGGCCCACGGTCCAGGCCCACAGCCCCCACCCGCTGTCCAGGCCCACAGCCCCCACCCGCGGTCCAGGCCCACAGCCCCCACCCGCGGTCCAGGCCCACAGCCCCCACCCGGCCGCAGCAGCAGCTGCTCCAGACACCGCCATCACTGCAGGAGTCCAGGGCCGTCATTAGCAGGGCAGGCTCGGACCTTCGCTACCTGTGTGCCCTGGGCATGCGCAGATGAGGGTGGATGGCGTGTGCCCCGGGGGGGTGCATGTGCGCAGACAGGTGGGAGCTGGTCATGTGACCCGCAGCGTCCTCCTCGCCCAGCCACTGACCGAATCCGCCACGTCTGTAGTGTAATCGCTAACAGAGACGGATGCTCTGAGCCCCTCTTATCCCAGACACTGGCTAGAGCTGCATGAATGACAACTGCTCTCCTGCACGGGAGTGCTAGGTCTGGCCACCACGAGCGCTGTGTGTCAGGAGTCAGAGACGACACAGCGTTTGGGCTCGGTTGCTTGGCTTGGGGGGGCCCTCCCCGGGGACCTCAGCCCAGCCTTCCGTGGGCAGCGAGTGAGCCCTGGGCTCGGCCTGGTGCCCTTCACATCGATGTCACTCTCACGGTGCTAGAGGACAGCTCTGCCTCAGCAGTGCGAGACACCCTCACCTTGTATCCCTAGGCAGACATTATCCAGTAACACACACACAGCTGTAAAGCAGAGACCCGCCTTCTTTCAGAAGGTGATTCGAACATATAGGCAAAGATAGAAAGAAAGCTAGTGTGCATTGTCACCATCCACAAAGGTCACCATCCCCAAAGGTGCTGCTGGCAGCTGGTAGGGCTGCAGGTCAGCAGCCGTCAATGCCACTGAGGAAGAGCGCAGTGACGGAGCGGGGAGGGGAGGCACGGGAGGCCAGGAAGCCCAAGGAGACACACCCAGGGCTTCGTGGGGGCAAAGGGCAGGACCTGTGACCTCAGTGGAAAGTTTACTCAGATGGAACTCCGAGGTAGAGCTCTCCAAATGAGCCGTGTGCATGCTGCAACCCTCCCATGCCACCATGGCTGAGAACTCACAGGAGCCCGGCCTCCGGCTGCGCAGAGGAACGGGGACTCACCACCTTCCGTGCACGGAGCTGCGGGTCCTGTTCTAAAGATAGCCCGTGCCTTCTGAGCACTGCTGGGGTTTGGGGCCTGGCCTCCTCTCCTCAGCCACAGTCTGCCGGCATGTTTTCAAGCCCATTGATAAGGGAACTCTCTCTCACTCACACACACACACACACACCACTAGCTGCAAACACTTCTCACGCATGCTGTTCCCAGCATGGAGATCACCAAAGGCCTGTGACAGACTCACGGTAAAGGGAGAAGACACGGGCAGGGGCTGCACACGCCCCCCTCCGTGGTGACCACCTTCTGGGGGAGGAGAGCCTCTGCCCTTCACCCATGCCCCTCCCGGGAGGAAGCCACAGCACGGCAGAGCACCGGGGCAGGGCCTGCCAGTCTGCCGTTCAGGAGCATGTGAGTGACACCACACATCGCAAGTGTCTGTTGCAGAACTGTGACGTTTATCTTTCTGATGCAGGCATATGTGTATTTGGAATGACTTATTTGAGAATCCAAACTAAAGATCAGAAAAGTTGTTTGCATCTTTTCTACCAAGCAAACAATCTCTGTGTGTGTGCACATGTGTGTGTGTGCACGTGTGTGCACCCACCTGTAGTATCCGCTGGGTTTCAGGTCAGGATTTGGCCTGGGGCTCCCTGGGCTGTCTGCTTGTGTGTGATCATCTTCAGTGATTAGAGAGCCCAGTGCTCCTTGCCATCCCGCCCCGGGACACGGCCAGGGTGCAGGAGTGCATGGATGAGGGCTTCAGGAACGATGCTATGGTGACACCATGGCTACAGAATTGCTCCCCTTATTTGTACAGTCACCCCAGTCTCTCCTGCCTCCTCAGAAGAGTTTTAGGTTTCTGAGAAAGGCATGCACCACATAACAGGCAACGCTGTTAGGAGCCAGAGGGACTTAGAAAACGGCCAGGGCCTCGGGCACCAGAGGTCCCAAGCACCGCCTGGCGAGTGCTCGCTCTGACCTCCATTCTGGCTTGTGATCCTTTTCAGGAAGAGAGGAAGGTCCCCCCTCCGATACCAAAGAAGCCCCCCAAGGGGAAATTTCCCATCACAAGGGAGAAGTCCCTGGACCTACCCGACCGACAGCGCCAGGAAGCCAGGAGACGGCTCATGGCCGCCAAGAGGGCCGCCTCCTTCCGCCAGAACTCCGCCACGGAGCGGGCGGACAGCATCGAGATCTACATCCCCGAGGCCCAGACACGGCTCTGAGGACAGCGGGCCCTGCACAGCTGGCTCTGTTCTTGTTCACAGGACACTTGTACAGTTTGTTGCCTTCCTGGTAGTTTTTGTCTCATTCCCTCCGCCAAAATACGCCCCGTCCCGTGTTCTGCACCTCGGGCACCGTGGACGCTCCGGACCTCCGCGTGCTGTCCCCGACGGCTGACCGCGGCCGGCTGCGACGGGCAGGCTTTGTCCTCAGAGGGCCAGGCAACGCCTCTTGAGATGGACCCCAGCTGACACTTTGTTATTTATATTTTTATAAACTGTGAGATGACTAGAGGTAAGAATAACAAATAACCACACACGGGTGCGTCTCACCACTCCCACGAGGCATTAGACAGCCCAAGCGGAAGGTGCTACAACTTGAAGGGCAGGGGAGACAGCCCGTCGCGCCTCTGACCTCCAGCCTCCTTTCCCCCGACTCCAGCTGGCCCTGCCCACCCATCCTGGCCCTCCGTGTGGCCACAGGAAGCACTTGGCTCCTTGTATGGAGCTCGCAGCGATGAGAAGGGTCTCGTAACCTCCAGACTCCGCACTCAGCGGTCCTCCAAGCCAGGGAGATGCCGGGCTGAACCCTCCAGAGACACTCAGCACAGCATCTGCTCTTTGAAAAGTGATCTGGGAAGAGTCATCTGGAACCTGGGAAAGCCTGGAGTTCAAATGTAGACGGACAAGCTGTCCAGGTCCATGACAAGGTCATTGGTTCTCATGATCCCATTGTGACTTAAAACATCACACATAGCATTTTTGTTAAATTCTCCATTTATGCTCCATGTGATTTTTTTAATGTGTGTCGCATACATTCTCAGACTGCTCTATCAGTTGACTTTTCAGGGTATCCTTCTATAAAAAAAAAAAAGAAGAAGAAGAAGGGTTGCTTGTTGAAAATGACCATTGTGATGTTGTAAAAGTATAAAACATGAATGTGAGTGGTAAGTATATCTCAGCTGAAATGGGAAAGAAGATAATGTAGTTTATACCATATTTTTCCAGAATTCTTTTGTCCTATGCAGTACTGCTAAAGTGAACAATATATTTCCCGCCTGGGTTAGACATGAAGGAGGGGAAAAAGCTCACATCTGGTGATCTCCAGCTGTGGAATGTTAAAAAGTAATTCGTGTTCATGACTCTGGAGGGCAGCAGGGAAAGAGAAACAGCTCTTCTCAGCAGGGGTCCCCCGCATAGCTACATTTTCACGACTTCTGTATCCGGCAGCCCTGGCACCTGCCCGGGAAGAGGCTGTGAGGTTCCTGCTGGGCCTGGCCCCCGAGTCCCAGTCCTCCTCGTGGCCCCGCGGGATCAGAGGGGTCTGCATGCCAGGTCTTCCTTCTTGCTGCTTTAAGGAACACGATGTACGTAGCCATAGGCAGAAAGCTCCCCCACAGCCCCGTAGCACTTTGTTTTCTCTCTTGATTCGCACTTTAAGATGTACCCAGGCCCTGGCCGCCGAGCCCAGGGAGGGACAGTGCCTCGGGCCTTCCTCATAGCTAACCCCACCACGCATGGGCCCCGGGGCGCGGCTGGTGTTGATACTGCAGCATGCCGAGCTTCGAAGTTTTACTTTTTTAAAGCTGAGTAGTTACGATTTCCCTGTTATAATCCCTATAAATTGAGCCTCATACCTGGTATATATTTTACCAAACAGCCTTAAAATATATTTGGAAGCAAAAATCATACGAATGTATATCCTTAAAAAATGCAAAAAAAAATCCCCTGAATTATTCTTCTATAACTGAATCCTATTCCCCAGAGTGTCAAAGCATTTTTCTATCTGAATAAACACCTAAATCCTAAGCAACGAACACTACGACACTCCTTCCTGTATTTGCTCCACTGTGTTAAAAGCAAGGATATTTGTAAGCATTGGCATTTTAGACTTTGAAAACGATGTGTTAATTAAAAGGAAATCCTACGTAGAAGTAGCCACAGGCAAGCAGATCCGGTATTAATTATCGGTAAAGAAATACAAAGTGCATATATGTGCTGGCAACTGTCCTGTGTTTCCTGGCAGCTGATGCGTTGGGTCTCGTCTCCTTAGACTTACACAGAACACATAGAAGCAAATTGTGAAATGGGACAATAATCACTCAGACCTCAGAGTCTATGGTTCCAACTTGAGTGAAATATCCACTGGATTTGAATTCATTTTTTTATGTTTTGTATACTCAGTTTTGTTTTTTAAGATCCCCAAAGCCTTGGCCTAAGCCATCCCTCTGAGAACAAGTTCCTCTGCTAACCACGAAGCTGCACTGTCCGTCCTGACTTGAAGTGGAGAATGTGCCCCTGTTGTCCCTAAGTTCCAAAGAAGACTGTGGAGAGCGTAGCAGCAGCGCTGGGCGGCAGAGTGCACCTGCCTGCGTTCCCTCCTCCGGCGGGCTGGCGGCCCCAGCGCTGTCCCCGACAAGAAGCTGAGTCGTGTTTACCTGCCGCGCCTGTGCTCCTGCACTGCCACCCCCGCTGGTGCGGTGTGGGGCGCGAACGTCCCCGTCACGCTTAAAAGACGACTTGAATGACAGACTGTGAGTAGCCCTGAGAACCAGCTGCTGCGCGTGCGGGTGCCGGGTAACGCCCACGGTGCTGCTCCAGCCGAGGCTGGTGACCGCGGAGACGCCGCCGGCACCGGGACTGCCCTCCCAGCCCACCGGCTCCGGCCGGCTCTCGGGTGTGGAAACGGGTCTCCTTGGCAGGGCCTGGCAGGGTGCCGTGCTTGTCAGCCGCCTCCCCTCCCCTCCTCCCCCCTCTGCCCCCCGCCCCATCCCCCCGTAACTCACCTGCCCACCTGCTGATGGTGGCCACATTTCCCTCCACACATTTGTATCACCCGGACTGGCGTAGAAAGCACCCAACTGGTGTATACCAAAAAAATCACACCCTGCTTGAAGGGACACGCTGCCCATGTTCTCAACGCCAAACCAATCCGAAGACTTCAAGCATTTCCCCAAAAGTAGAAATTACATTTAAAGTTGCCTCTAAGAAAACCTGCAAGTCAGTAGCGAGAGTGAGGGGCTCTCCCTCCTGGCTCTTAGGAAAGGGGCCAGATTTGTGGTTAGGAAACAATTTTAGGGCAGCAAATGCATGGGCTTGGACCCCCTCTCGGGTGTACGTCTCTGTTGCCCTGTCTTGGTTTTTGCCTTTTTGATTAAACCGCTGCCTTTGTGTGTATGTGCTCATCTCTGTGCTGCCCGGGCCTGCCTGGCGCCCGCCCGGCGGTCTCCTCAAAGTGCACCTGTAGACACGCGGCCAAGGGCCTGCGGCGTGCAGGGTGGCTGCCTGCGGGGGGGGCGGGGGGGGGGGAGCTTTGGGGAAGGGAGGAGGGGGAGGGGAGGCGCGCTCAGGGCTGCACCGGGCTTGTCTGTCTGCGGTCCCCGGAGGCCGGCAGGCTCCAGCCAGACCTCAGGGTCCCAAAGAAGCAGATGCCATTTCAAGAGAATGCGAGTCAGACGCGAGAGGCTCTTCAGGAGCGCCGCCAGCCTTGGGCAGAGTCCTGACAGTGCCGTGCGGGGTCTACACCCCAGGGCTGACCATCCAGGAGCAGGGGCGGGAGCGCGGGAGAAGACGTGGCCGCCGTCCCTGCGGCCACCTGGAACCCGACGGCAGAGCAACGCTGGGCATCCCGCAGGACCACCGTCCTGAGCCCCGGAGCTCGCCACAGCCCGGCCCGCCACAGCCCGGCCCCCGCACGCCTGAGCGGCCGCGTCCCCTGCCTTGTGAACCGCCCCCCGCCGTCCCCGCCATCTCCTCCGGACTGAACTTTTCTTTTTCACCACAAGTTTTAACATAATGACGCCGCATTTGAAGACAAACTACCTTAGTAGCCGCGTCCATGGTCTCTCCAGCCTGGAAAGGACGCGTCCTCGGAACTTGCTTAGCGTTCCCGTTTCCGCCGTGTCCTTGAGTGTCCCTCGCGGTGGCCTTGCAGCGCGCTGGTCCCACGCAGGGGGCGGTGTCTGGGCGGTGTCGGGGGCTGCTGCGGCTCCGGCTCACACGCGGCCTGGCCTGTGGCCGGCCCCGCGCCTCTGTCACCTCAGGGCATCCTGTGGGCAGCAAAGCTCGGCAGGGCCTCTGCTCCATTAGCTGGCTGCCCCGATGCAGCGCAGCGGCCGCAGGGCACCGAGGAGCCAGTGCAGGTGGCCGGGAAGCTCTGGGGAGGGAGGCTACTGGTGTCCTCCACGCGTCTGCCCGTCTCCCACCATTACTGTGTGTCTCCTTCCTGTTCTGTAACCTGGGTCGGAGCTCCTGCCGCCCCCCCTCCTCAGACACAGTGAGAGAGTAATGACCTATGCCCTGTGTTGCTGTCAAAGGTCACAACAGGCCCTCGTCACCCAGCCCTGGGGCCACGGGCAGAAGTAGAGGCAGAACACAGATATCTGGGAGACAGTCAGGCTAGCTAGGGAAAGGCAAAGAGGCTGCCTTTGGGGTCCTGTCCAGCCAGGCAAGAGGTCAAACCAGGAATCTGAGGGTCTGGAGCCGAGGGGGCATGGTGAGGCGGCTCCTCTCCCCTCCCCTCCCCTCCCCTCCCCTCCCCTCTCCTCCCCTCCTCTCCTTTCCTCTCCTCTCCTCTCCCCTCCTCTCCCCTCCTCTCCTCTGCTCTCCTCTCCTCTCCTCTCCCCTCCTCTCCCCTCCCCTCCCCTCCTCTCCTCTCCCCTCCTCTCCTCTCCTCTCCTCTCCCCTCCTCTCCCCTCCTCTCACCTCCTCTCCCCTCCCCTCCCCTCCCCTCCCCTCCTCTCCTCTCCTCTCCCCTCCTCTCACCTCCTCTCCCCTCCCCTCCCCTCCCCTCCCCTCTCCTCCCCTCCCCTCCCCTCCCCTCCCCTCCCCTCCCCTCCTCTCCTCTCCTCTCCTCTCCCCTCCTCTCCCCTCCCCTCCCCTCCCCTCCTCTCCTCTCCTCTCCTCTCCCCTCCTCTCCCCTCCCCTCCTCTCCTGCTGTCTTTGACTTTAGTCTCCAGATATGTATCTAAGAACAAGCACCAAACCAAACCAGACAACATCTTTGCTATCACATCAGGTTTTGGATGAAACACAGGTATTAGAACTTTAAAGTGAGGAAGGAAGAAGCCTCCAGAAGCAGAGCTGCGGGCGTGGATGGGCAGGTTGGACGCACTGGCCACCGTGCGCTCCTCGGTGGCATCTGTGAGCCCGATGCTCTGAGAAGTGGCCCTCCTGTCACCCTGCCACACTGAAGAGGCCACAGTTCCGTGAGTCACTGGCCTAACCCTGGCATCTTCTTCCAGCATGAAGAGGAATTACTTCACCTTCCAGTCTAATCATTTGGCCGATGATTTCTCTGCAGAAGAAATATTCGTTATCTACTATAAAACTACTAATTTTTAAGATTTTGTATGGGTAACAGGAGTTTACCTCCCTCCTTTCTTATGTTTCTAAGCGACTCTTCATCACTGGTGCTTTCTCTGACCCGAAGGCTGGGCCTCCGTACCTGCGGGCGCTCTGGGGAGAGGGGGTGCGAGCAGCCGCGGGCTCCTTCCGCAGCCGGTGGCCCCTGTGAAGAACGTGCTGGCCCGGGTAGAAGGGGGTGAAGGGCTCTGGTGGGTTTGGGAAGTTGACGGAAGCCCTTGTCCCATCCCAGTCACCCAGCTTCGCACCACCAACCCCAGTCTTAAAAACTCAGTCACGTCACCTTTAAAGGGCTCCGCGTGAACGTCCCTCTACTTCAGATGGGTCGGCTGACTCCACACAGGTCCCCTGAGGAGCAAAGCAGCAATGGGAATCGGGCTGCCCTAGCTTTCTTCTTTCCAAACGGCAAGCCACTCCCTCCGGTACAAGCCCTTCCTTCACCCCGGCCCCCTCGCCACACACCAAGCGCCCAACACGGTGTGGCCTGAGGATTAAGTCAATGCTTCCTAATGAAGTCAAGGAATGCTAGAACAGGAAACTAGCTGTTTAGTTAACGTTTAAAGCAAAAGTATATACATATATAAATAAATATAAATAAATATACATATGAAATCATATCGACACTGAGGACAGAGTGCCCAAAATCTCACCATGTGTACAGAGTTACCATCAGCAGAACCCAACTATTTTATGTAATTCTCTTTCTCATGCTTTTATGGTTCTTTTTGGTAAATTCTCTTTAGTAGCATGCAGAACACCTACCCTGAATGTACAGTATGCTAAACATCACCCTACCGTTTCCAACCTCCAGGTTGTTGGCCATGATCTTGAAGCATCTTAAGGGTTAGGGTGGTTTGCTTTGGTTTTGGCGTTGGTTTTTGGGTTCTCCGCAGTTTTTGTCACTTTTGCTCTTGGTTGGTTGCCCCCAGCCCCCCCGCCCCGCTCACTCCAGACGCCACTGTGTACTGCTGATGTTCCTCTCCTGTAAATAGTTCTACAATTAAACTTTTTGAGAAAAGCAATGGTTCCTTTTGGAGTGAGTTCTTCGTGTTTTTATAAACTAAGAAAAATTATATAGACCAAAGAATTTTATCAAGAAAAAATTACCCTCCTCCTCTATTACATATTTCCTTGTTGAAATATCAGGTTCCCCCTGAGAAGACACAGACATTTCCTCAGGTTATAAGTTTGATGTGAACACAAAACGACGCAGATTAAGATGAGTTTAAAATGGACGAACGTAAGGTAACTATCGATGTGGTTCATGCCCCTTCAAGTTGCGCGGAGCCCTGCGGGTCCTGGGGGCCGGGCAGGCAGGCCTGGTGGGGCCCTGCTCGGTGGTCAGGGCTGGGAGCGGAGAGGGGCCCGCTGCCCAACCCGGAGATACAGCAATGGCACCCCTCCAGACCAGGCCGGACTTGGGGTTAGCTTCTCGCCTGCTGCTCGCCCCTCCCTCCAGCTGTCTAGTTGTGGCGCCCACCTCTTTCCGCTGACCTGTTGCCAGTCTCACCAACGCCCAGCTTCCTCACGGCATGCCCGCCTCTCCGTCCATTCCCCTCCACTGAGGGCAGCTCTGATGCTGGCCCTTCCCTGAGTGTGCACCTGCTCCCCACATGCCGGCCTGTGGCCGGAGGAAGACTCGGGTCCCACACAGCAGCCTCCCCACTGCTGGCCTCCCCACTGCTGGCCTCCCCTGGCCTCCCCACTGCTGGCCTCCCCTGGCCTCCCCACTGCTGGCCTCCCCTGGCCTCCCCACTGCTGGCCTCCCCAGCCTCCCCACTGCTGGCCTCCCGGCCTCCCCACTGCTGGCCTCCCCTGGCCTCCCCGGCCTCCCCACTGCTGGCCTCCCCCTGGCCTCCCCGGCCTCCCCACTGCTGGCCTCCCCAGCCTCCGCTGGCCTCCCCACTGCTGGTCTCCCCTGGCCTCCCCACTGCTGGCCTCCCCACTGCTGGCCTCCCCAGCCTCCCCACTGCTGGCCTCCCCGGCCTCCCCACTGCTGGCCTCCCCGGCCTCCCCACTGCTGGCCTCCCCGGCCTCCCCACTGCTGGCCTCCCCGGCCTCCCCACTGCTGGCCTCCCCGGCCTCCCCACTGCTGGCCTCCCCTGGCCTCCCCACTGCTGGCCTCCCCACTGCTGGCCTCCCCACTGCTGGCCTCCCCAGCCTCCCCACTGCTGGCCTCCCCCGGCCTCCCCACTGCTGGCCTCCCCGGCCTCCGCTGGCCTCCCCTGGCCTCCCCACTGCTGGCCTCCCCACTGCTGGCCTCCCCACTGCTGGCCTCCCCAGCCTCCCCACTGCTGGCCTCCCCTGGCCTCCCCACTGCTGGCCTCCCCGGCCTCCCCACTGCTGGCCTCTCCACTGCTGGCCTCCCCACTGCTGGCCTCCCCTGGCCCACTCAGGACTCGGTGGGGTTTGGAGGTGGGATGGGGGCTGGGTAAGAAAGAGCGTGTCTACAGAGAAACTGAGTACTTACTGATCCCACAGTGAGATTAAGAATTTCTACAAAGAACCAGTTGAAGTGTATAAATTCTAGACTCACAGGACAATCAGAAAAAAGAAACCATTCACAAATCCTTTCTGTTAATGTTACTTGATTATAATTACAATTTATGAAATTGTAATTTCAATTAAGAAATAGAGTTGAGAACTCATCTAATGAATATATATGAGAGAAATACTATCAGTTATGCTCTATACCTATATATAAATTTATATAAGTATTTTTTGTATGTTATTTCTTTCTACAATGCATACAACTAGCAAAACAAAAGCACCCTTATATGTTTTTCCCATAACTCTTTAATAAAGGTTTTACTTTATTTGCATTTTATTTGGAACTTTGTCCTCCGATCTGCAGGTGGTTTTGCGATATTTTCCCAGCATCAGTAAAAACACAGAGGACTGAGCTGGCCACAGATGACACTGGGTTTAAAAGTCACTAGACAGGAAGTGGCGCTGTGGCTCCAGCAGCAGAGCACTCACCTTGAGCTGAAGAGCGCAGGGACAGCACCCAGGCCCAGAGTTCAAGCCCCACAACCGACCAAAAAAGAAAAAAAAGTCACTAGACAGAGCCAGAGCCCAGCTCTCTTGTGTCAGGAAGAAGTACACTTGGAAGTCGCTGCTCTGTCTGCACAAGAAAAAGGCTGAACCCACGGATAATAGCGAAGGTTTTCAGCTTATCAGAGGACTGATGTAGAGACAAACTACCGCCCGAGCGCTGCTCTGGAAGAGTAATTGGTGGATTAAGAAAACATAGGTTAGGCTAGGGGCGTGGCTCAGGTGGTACACACAAGGAAAGCCCTTCAAACCCCAGAGCCACGGAGGGAGGGGGGGGAGGGAGGGAGGGGGGGGAGGGGGGAGGGAGGGAGGGGGGGGGGAGGGAGGGAGGGAGGGAGGGGGGAGGGGGGGAGGGAGGAGGGGGGAGGGAGGGAGGAGGGGGAGGGAGGGAGGAGGGGGAGGGGAGGGAGGAGGGGGAGGGAGGGGAGGGAGGGAGGGAGGGAGGGAGGGAGGGAGGAAGGAAGGAAGGAAGGAAGGACCAACCTGGATTTTGACTCCTGTAATATTCTTTCCCTGTGGTGGTGGTATTAAAGTGGATTCCTATAGAATGGCTAGTGCACTTTGAACCAAGAGCAGCTCAACTATGGAAAGCTGAGAACAGGGTAGTGTTTGTTATCTATAGAAACATCAGTCTCTGCACTAACCTCACGTAAAGGTGATTTTCAAGGGCCTCTCATGAGCCCTAAAAACAAACATAAATGCAGGGCTTTTAAATCAAACAACTCTGACCTCGGCATTCATAGGCCAGACATATGCTGCCCATGTTTGGCATTTTTAAATTAAATTTACCATCCTATCCAGCAAAGATACCCCTTAGTATCTGCCCAGGGGAGATGCCGAGTTCTGCGGAAGCCTACCTACGTGTAGCTATTTAAAACAGCTCTGTTCATAACTGACAGGCCTGCGAGCAACCAAGATGGCCGTCCGTGGCTGGATGGATAAACTCACCGTGGTACGCCCAGACGGTGGGATAGTGCTCTGTGCTAAAAAGAACTGAGCCGCGGGGGTGTCAGGACACTTGACCGACTACTACGAAGTAAGGCCCTTCCTTAGGTCACCTGCAGCTGGCCTCCTCTAGGGACCCCCCTTCCTCCCAGACCCCTCCTCCGGAGACCCCCCTCCTCTGGGGACCCCCCTCCTCCTGGACCCCCTCCTCCGGGGACCCCCCTCCTCCTGGACCCCCTCCTCCGGGGACCCCCCTCCTCCTGGACCCCCTCCTCCGGGGACCCCCCTCCTCCTGGACCCCCTCCTCCGGGGACCCCCCCTCCTCCTGGACCCCCCTCCTCCGGGGACCCCCCTCCTCCAGGACCCCCCTCCTCCAGGGAATCCCCCCTCCTCTGAGAACCCCCTCCTCCGAGAACCCCCTCCTTTGGACCCCCCTTCTCCAGGGGCCCCCCCTCTTCTGAGACCCCCCGTCCTTCTCTGGGGGGACCCCCTCCTCCGGGGAACCCCCCTCCTCCGAGAACCCCCTCCTCCAAGAACCCCCTCCTCTGGACCCCCCTTCTCCAGGGACCCCCCTCCTCTGAGACCCCCCTCCTCCACCCACACAGGGCTCATAGGCAGCTGGCAGGCCCCTCCCCCCTTGCCCGTCTCTGGTCACACGCCGGCAAAGCTGGGTGCTGCACCATTTCATCCACAGGGACCATCAGAAAACCCAAACTGGAAGCGGTAAAAGATCAGAGGGGTAGGGAGGAGGATGGTGCGTGGAGACCTCAGGGAAGTCTCGAGCAACACTGTAAAGGTCACTCCAAGGTCACTGAATTCTGCCAAAACCCACAGCATGCGCCATGCCGAAAGGAATGAATCCGAAGAGAAGTCAGAGCTTCCGCTGATGGTTGCACACCAGTGTCGCACTCTGCACCGCCTACCACACCAGAGCACGGCGCTGCGTGGGCGCCGGCGGGAGGGAGGGAGCCCTGCGGCCACCCATAACCACCCCAGCCGGCTCGCAAGACAATACATTACTTGAAAGGAGCAATGAAACCAGAAGCTGTGTTTGGGAACCGGCCCAGGCACCGACCGGAAGACTTTCAGCTGGTTTCCATTATTTGACATTTTTAAATGAGTTGCCTTTCGAGAACGAGAACACTGGGGTTTCGGTGGCTTGTTTTATTGTCATTACCTGTGAGCTCCTAAATTAGCGCCATGTGATACATGGTGAGTGTTGTCACTTGCCTTACACGTTGGGTGAAGAGCGCAAAGCTGTGTGTCAGACGGAAAGGTCCGCGTGTCCCCCGTATCAAGCTGTGCAGGTGAGCTGGGCGACCATCCTGAGTTCTCAGCCGTGGTCGTCC